CAGAGGAGATGGCCAGGGAGTGTGGGTACAGAGAGGAGGGGGCCAGGACCAGGGAGAGAAGGAGGGTCCAGAAGAGAGGCCAGAGAGTGTGGGGCCCCGGGGACCACGTGGGGAAGTGGTTCAAGGAGCAGCCTCAGAGCAGGCTGGAAAGGACTTGGGCTTGAATTCCAGAAACAAGGGAGAGCACTGAAGGCCTGTGAGCAAGAGGGCCGTGAGACAGGGCTGCTGTGTTGGACAGAGCTTGGGGAGGTTGGCAGGGATTCTGTGAGAAAGTTAGTCTGTCCTCTGCTCCAGGTTCCTTGCATGTTCCCTGTCCTCACTGCCCACCATGGTGACCCCTGACCCATACCTTCTGCCCTGAGCTGTCTCTCCAACCGTAGCCCATGGCATTGGAGCACCATGGCTTTGCCATCAGAAATGCCACCTTGTTCCTGTTAGCTAAATGACCCACCCAGAGCTCCTATGTCCGCAGCAGATGGAGCTACTTCCTGGCAAAGGGCCAGCAGTAAAAGGACATAGTGGGGCCCAGCCTGGAGAAAGGGCCCTGTCCCCGTCCACAGTCACTGATGTCCTCGCCTCCATAAACCAGAAAGGGGTTAAACCATGAGCCCAACTTAGGATTTCAGGGCTAGGGCCGGATGCTTGCTGGGTGTCACCCTCAGTCAGTTCACACTCAGTCCTTCCCATCCTTCTGGGCAGGAGGCACAGGCGCTGCTGACCTCAAGGCCGGGGAGCTCAGCCTCTGGAATGCTGTCCATTCCATACACAGGTGCCTCTGACTTGTGAAATTATTCTTATACTGGAAGAAGCTGCTCCCCCCATTCTCCCCTGTGTAGAGTGCCCAGCTCTGAGTCCCTCCCACCAAGCCTGTGCGCCCGGCACACAGCCTGCAAGCCCCTGGCCCTGCCGCTGCGCTGGAACTGAAACCAGCTGTGCACAACACAATAGCTGTGTGCAACACACACACTGACTGTGCGCATGCTCTCAGAAGGCACTGCACACGATAGGTGTGCATATCTGCTCAGTGCGCACAGACACGCACCTGAGCTGTGTACACAATTGCGTGTGCAGACACACACCCTGTGTATATACACACGCACACAGAACTCACGCACTTTCCCTGTGCGTGTGCACACAGGAACCCTGTACGCACCTGCGCCTATACGTACGGGCCCTTGGGGTATGCTCAGAGACACGGGCTCATGCAGGCCGTGGCCCTCGGGTGCTGCACCTACACCACGTGTCTGTGCCAAGGTTTCAGTTTTTAAGTTTATATTTCTACATGTGCAGTGCTCAGTGACTACATTTATTGTGGGGAGTTAATATCTGTCCATGACATATCTTCGTTCTTTCTGGGTCCCCTCTCACCCCTCCCCACTCCCTCCATCTCTGGTTCTCCTTCCTGTTTGGAAATGATCTCCCTACTTTCTCTTATCGATCTATTATTTGGATATATTTATACTTTGGGTTTCTCATGTAAGAGAAATTCTGTGATGTCTCAGCTTGTATGTCTGATTTATGTCACTTAATGTTATGCTCTCAGGGTGTGGCCCTTTACCTACTAGTGACCCCTTTATCCTTCTCTGTGGCGGAGCAGCACCCATTGCGTTCAAACATGACATTTCCTTATCCATTCTTTTGTTGATGGAGGAGTAAGCTGCTTCCAAGGGTGAGCTTTTATGAGTTGTGATGCTATAAACTTGGATATGTGTGGACCCCTGTAATACCATGTCTTTAACTAGGTATCCTTTTAGGAGGATACCTAGAAGAGGGGTAGTGGATCAAATGCAATTTCTATTTTTAATATTTCCAGGACTC